GGTAACTCTCAGGGGTGGGCCAGGAACACCGGAGGTGTAGAGTCCTTGACTTCAGGCTTTAGAAAGCCAGAGAAATATAAAACTTGGAAAAAAAACCTAGGAAAATTCTTAAAAAGCTTCAAATCCTCCAAGAATAGCTCAGGAGAAATCTTTTTATACCAATTCCCAAGTGGTTTGCATGGCAAAGAAAAGGCCAGCTGTCCTATCAGGCTTCCTGGGGCCGGACACCCTTCCAAACATGGTGGCACAGCAACCATGGTCGTGGGGGTACTGTTTACCTTCGCTGAAGCATGGAGACAGCCCTGTTATCCTTCGGTGGATGGACGGATGAAGAAAATGCGGGCTAGATACACAGTGGAATTTTACTCGTGCATCAGGAAGAATATTCCAGCATTTTTAAAGAAGTGGAAGGACTAGAAAAAAATTTACGTGAAATAAATCAGGCCCAGAGAGACAAAGCGCCCATGTTTTCTCTCATATGTGAAAGATAGAACTGATTTATAAATGCACAAGGAAACACGTACAGGGTTGTGGGCAAGTGCACGCAAGTGTATTAACCCAAGTATGGTATTTGCAAGGAAGAATTCAAATGGTGTAAACTCCTTAGAACAAGGAATTCACTGTCCAACAAAATGAATACCAGGAAACTGGTACTTGAAAGGGGTGGAGGGGGAGGAAAGGTCAAGGGGAGGGAGGAAGAGGGAAGAGAGAATGCAGTCATGATATTTAATGCACATCCTATGAAACTAGGAAAATTGAGGCAGGGAGGGGTTGGGAGGGATAGGAGAGAATAATAAAAGGCACTGATCAAGAAGCATTGTGATTATAAACTGATTTGTTGAAGGGTAAACCCTGCGAACAATGACTTAAAGATAATAAAACACACAAAAGAGATGGTAGCAGCAACTAACTAAATACTGCTCCCAATGAAAGACTGCTCCTATTCTCCAGAAGTCATTTGTGTCAAGTTGGGGGTCACATTTGAGTTCCTCCACATCACACTGCCCACATGGATGGCAAACAGGAATTCAGCTGTGGAACCTCCACTGTCCTGAAATAGGTTTGAACCTGTAGGTCCATGTTACATATGGGTCCTGGATGGCCAAGACTCAAGATGCTGTCAATCATGGCTAGCGTTGTAACCAAGAGATTTCCCCTCCCCCCTTTAATTCTGAAGGGGAAAAGGAAAGATGATAATTAAATACAGGTCTGGGATATAGGCCTTCAGGACATTATGCAGGAACATTATGGGGTCTGGGTTTAGATAATGAGCATGGTGGCTTCATGGCCACAGGGTCTGCAGGGCTGTTCTAAGACTCATAGAAGTGGAAGAGGCAAAGGCAGAGTTTAGCCAAATAAAACACTAGGAAGCAGGTACTCAAGAGGGTGGGTGAGACCAAGGGGAAAGAGGTGGACAAATGAAGAGGAAAAGTGGGGAGAGTGTGGTCAAGAATCTGATGTGTATCCTACAAAATTAAGAAGGAAAGGATGGGTTGGGAAGGGATGGGTGAGAATATTGAAAAGGTGACATCGATCAAGATTTATTATATTCCTAAACTGCCTTATTAAAATGGCAAGTTCTTTGTACAACTACTTAAAGATGATTTAAAAAAAATAAAAAATAAATTAAGGGGGCTGGGAATGTGGCTTAGTGGTAGAGTACTTGCCTAGCCTTCATTGAAGTCCTGGGTTCGATTCCTCAGTACCACATAAACAGAGAAAGCCAGAAGTGGTGCTGTGGCTCAAGTCATAGAGTGCTAGCCTTGAGCTAAAGAAGCTCAGGGACAGTGGCCAGGCCCTGAGTTCAAGCCCCAGGACTGGCAAAAGAAAAAATTGAGGAAAGGGGTGAATCAGGAGGAATGGGTGAGAATGTTTTGAAAGGGTAACATTGATCTAGGTAAATTGTATTCACAAACCACTTTGTTTCATGGTATCTCTTTTGTACAACTACTTAAAGATAATAATAAAACAAAAAGAATCACAAAGGTGGAAATGAATCATCGTTAGCAACACTGGACAAATAAATTTCCCTTTTCCTATCAGTTCACTCTGCTTTGGTTTTTGCAAACCTCAAGAGCAGAGCTGTGCAAGTCCTGGGACTTTAAATTCAGGGTATAGGTACTGTCCCTGAGTTTTTGTGCTCAAGGCCAGTACTCTATCACTTGAACCACAGCTCTACTTCTAACTCTTCAGAAGTTCATTAGAGATAAGAGTCTCATAGACCTTCCTGTCCCAGCAGACTTCTAGTGGGATTCTCAGATCTCAGCCTCCTGAGTAGCTAGGATTACAGGCATAAACCATTGGTGCCTGGATTGATTCTGTTTTCTTGTCGTATCCTCTCTTCTTTTCCATCATAGGAGAAATTGAGGAGTTTAGCCAGGGATACTTTGAGATAGATGGTACACTCCCCACATTCCTGGAAACTTATATAAGCTCACTTCTTTCTTGGTTGTTTTTGGTTGTCTTCTTTCTCTCCTTCAAAAAGATTTAATAAGAAGAGAAATAGAAGAGGTAAGTTTTGGGGGATTAAATGAGCAGGTGTTTGTAGGACTCTTTGTCCCTGCCAAATGATCTTTTTTTTACACCCCCCCTTGCCAAATAGAGTATTTTTCTTTCTATTTCCCAATCGTAGTGTGAATTCATCTTTGCCAAGTGGCTTTTGTGGATTTGCCGAGGTCCCGTGTGCCAGTCACAGCTTCATCTTGGCCAGACATCACCACTTATTGAAGAGAAAGCCGTTTCCAGGAAAGCTCAGAGCTAAGACTTCTAGAAATCTTCCCTTGATTTACTGAGCCAGGCTTTGACACTTTAGGCCATCTGGAAATTTTTGGACCTGAGCATTAATATCTGTTTCGTATATCTCATTTCATAAGCCTTTTTTTTTAAAAAAAAGAAATTCTTACTCATTGGAGGTATGTTCTTCATTTATCTTATGTTATGCCTTTGGATCAAATGCATGTTTGATTGATAAGTATCTTTATGAGAGAAATTATAAGCCTGGGAACTGCAGAGAAAATCATCAGAAAAACAGTTGATGTGTCTTTGTGCCATTCTGGGTACATATCAATAAAGGACCCTGTTGCTGACCTATTAGTGAAGTCAGGGTGTTGTATTGGAGTTGTCAGGCATTCTTGAAAGAGTGGTGCTGTACTTTTTCTTTCTTTTTAGTATGAGTGCCCTGTAACATCCTCTCTCTGTCCACTTAATGTCTCAGTTTGTGCCTTTGCTTCTGTTCTGTTTTTATAGCCTCTTGTTTCCAGTGGCCATCAGTGTGTTTATTTCTAGATGCAGACAATGTCTCCAAAATGTGGCTGAGTCTATACAACGAGGGAACGCGTTCTTTGCTGGAGCTGGAGCTAACATCACAGCTCATTTAGTACTGCGATTTGGCATCGTGCTCAGGCCAAATATGAAAACGATCCTAACTGTGTACGAAAATAGCTTGTGACAGTTTGAGTCTCGCTTATGTTTTTGTATTTTTTTCCACTGCAAATTAGCTAGCTGGGTCCCTTTGAACTTACTAATATCTTCAGCTTTTTTTTTCTTTTTTTAAAAACAACCTTTCTAGGAAACAGATTTATGAATTTGCTGTGATGAATCAATATCTGTGTTGTTTATGTGATGTTTAGTATTAAATGGAAGACGTAGCTTTGCCTGGGGCCTATTTTGGAAATTAAGACCTGCACACTCAATGGTTAACAAATATAATACGATTGTGCACCATAGTGCAAATTATTCATAGAATGCTTTGTGACATTGAAAAGTAGAGAATTAAAAGATGTATTTGCACATCGGGATGCTTATGATATACGACAGCATAGTGGCCAATGTTGGACAGCGATCGTTGGTAGAGAAGCATGTAGAGGTGGGCCATGAGCCGTGGGAAGACCATTAACCCGCACTGTTTAATCCCCAGAAGATGCCATTATCCCCAGTGTATCCTTCCGTCTTCATCTTGACAGTGCTTCCTCTCCCTCTGTGAGGATCTTTGGTAATTCACCAAGTCTGGTTAACTGTGTGATGCTCAGTTCTCTCTTTATCCCTCTAAACAGAAAGCCAACATAAATTAGGCAGGGTCCATGAAAACATCCAGTCCGTATTTCCTCACACAGTCTTCTGTTTCCCCACGATCCCTGGCTCACTTGGGTTTCTGTGCTCTAAGAAGACATTGGGGAATCCACTTTTTGCTGCTTCTGCTCGCAGGTGACTGCCATAGCAGGAACCCTGTGTCGTATCAGTCCTTGACACATACGTCAAAAGTGACCACAGGTTTCCTCTCCAGGCTTGTAGGTTTTTTTTTCTTTTTGACAAAGCCTGTTTATTCTATGTTCTTTGTGCTTCATGTCTTTGGAAAGCCCCTTTGTGCAAATCCTTGGTGTGTTGAAAACGCTGGCAGCTCCCGCTGCGTGCCCCCCTTTCTCCCCCACCCCGCTTTGCTCTATGCACATTTCTTTGGCACAGCTCAACTTTATAGAGATTGGAGATAACCTGGGAGAGAAGAAAGTAATTTCATTGAAGCTCCAGAGGCTGAACCCATCCTTAGGTGATAGGCTTAGTCATTCCAGCTGAGTCATTTGACTTGAAGGATCAAGTAACCCTGAGGGAAAGTAAATTTTTCACTCTGCCTTTACCAATTTTTTTGAAGCATTTTGTTTATTTTATTTCTATTCCTAGGAGTTGAGTCATGTTTTACTTGAGATTAGTGGAGCTGAACCATGTCAAATAGCCATTTTGTATTGAAGGAAGGAAGGAAGGGAAGGAGGGAAGGAGGGAGGGTGGGAGGAAGGAAGGAAGGAAGGAAGAAAGGAAGGAAGGAAGGAAGGAAGGAAAAGAGATGGCCCCAATATTGACATTGTCATCTAGTTCAATCTGATGGATTAAGCTCTAGCTTATTCCTTGCTCTTCTAACAGTAAGTTGAGATGTTGTATCTTAAGGTTGTACTAAATGATTTGTGGGGAAAACTAGTGCTGAAGTCTCTTCCCTTCCTGTTAATTCCTAGATCACACTGCACCTGAATCCCATCTCCTCCATCCACATTCACAACAAGCCTGTGGTATTCCTGCTCAATAGCCCAAAGCCACTGGTCTGGCATCTGAAGACAGAGAGACTTGCCACAGGGGTCCCCAGACTTTTCTTGGTAAGTGTTTAAAACCCTCCCAATAGATTCTATTTAAAACATTTTTTTCCCCTGGTATTGGAGGTGGACCTCAGGGCCTTTTACTTGCTAGACAAGCACTATCCTTCCCGAATCCTTTTTTGCTTTTAGTTATTTTTTACATGGGCTTTTGCTTTTGCTTTTGCTTGGACTGGCTTCAGACCGTGATCCTCCCATCTCTGCCTCCCAAGTATCTGGGATTATAGACAAGAGGCAGCCCTCCTCATCAATCATTAGTGCAAAGAGACATAATACTTTGCAAGCCCTTTAAAAAAAAAAAAAAAAGAGGTATCTTTTCATTGTGCAACCAACCTGTGGAATTGCACACTTGGCACAGGAAAACATTCACGGGAAGCAGATACCACCTGTGGGCCTTTTGAGGCTGGAGAGTCAGGCATTGTGTGGCCCCAGCTTTGCTTTCAGTTCTGAGACTCAACTTGTGGCATCAGGAACACGGTCACTGTGTATAGCCACCGGGTGTGTGGTCTCTGGCCATAAATAAATATGTAAAACCCATTCTATTTGTATATAACACATGCCTCATTTCTGATAGGAGGAACCGTTGGTTGAGAAAATGACATTGTGAGCTCCAAGATGAAATCATTGGTATTTCTTTTTGAAAAACCTTGGAACTTGGCTCTTATGGAACAATCCAAATATTACCTCCTATTTGTAAATCATATCCTCTTGAGTGTGCCAAAGCATTCAAGTTTGCTAGTTGTGGAGAAATAGATGGGTTGTTTGGAAGGGATTTTTGGGCTGTGATATCATGGGTGATGAAGATGAGCAACACTGTATCTTTGTAGTGGCAGCGCACTGTCCCTCACTCCAGCCCTCTTGCTCAGCTTTAGGCTTTGCAGCCTCTCATGCCTTCAAGCAGCTGAGAAAAGCAAAAGACCTCAGTTCAGATTTTCCCTTTTGCCTAATGAGTAAGGTTATTTGTCCCCCTCATTAATGCCTTTCTTGTCATTTGCATTGGGAGAGAGTACTTTTGCAAATGTAAAGGTACACACTGCATAAAGTAAGAATCCACAGTTAGGAAGCAGATAAATAACTGCATTAAGGAGAGATAAAGAAACTCCTCTTTAGAATGCTAATGAACAGATGTGGAAGAAGTGATGGAGCGTAAAAGTCATTTTTGGAAACATCCTAATACAAGTGGATCAGATAAGAAGCATGAATAGATGCTGGAAGAGGAGCAAGGAGTTTGAGGAACAGTGTATTCACATAGTCTCCTAATATCTTTTGTACTTATGGCTTATTAATTATGGAAGAAAAAAATACCACCCACATACAATGGAGATTATCAGTGCTCCAGTGACCAAAATTAACATCAGCGGTATGGGACAGGTCCACGCTGTGTTCAAGGAAGTGAGAAAGAACCTGAATCTAGTCATCCAGAAACACTGGACAGCTGGCTCTGGTGGCTCATACCTGTAATCCTTCCTAGCTACTTAGATCTGAGGATTGGGGGTTCAAAGCCAGTCCTGGAAGACAAATCCCTAAAACTCCTACCTTCCGTTAATCAGCAAGTAGTAGAGCACCAGCCTTGAGTGAAAAAGCTAAGGGAGAGTGCATGGTCCTGGGTTCAAATTCCAATACTATCTCCCAAAATATGTGAGTCATGAAAGAGTTTGGTTGAAGAGCCATTCCAGATTAAATAAGGGTAAAAAAAAATCTTGTGATCTTAAAAAGTAACCTATTTAGTAAGGGTTTCTTAAAGGACACAAGGGAAACAATAGATGAACTTAGAAAGTATTATATCAACATAGTATTTCTTCATTTAATAATTGTACTTTTAATAATATGTACTTTTTAGGAAACAACCTATATACATTTAAAGATTAAGGAACAATAAAAGAAATGCAAATCAAAACAACACTGAGATACCACCTCACCCCAGTTAGAATGGCTAGAATCAAGAACTCTAATAACAACAGATGCTAGATGGGATGTGGACAGAAGGGAACCTTACTGCATTGTTGGTGGGAGTATAAACTTGTTCAACCACTTTGGAAAGCAGTATGGAGGTTCCTCAAAAGACTCCACATAGAGCTACCCTATGACCCAGCAATCCCACTTTTGGGCATTTACCCAAATGTTCATAAACAAGACCACACTAAAGCTACCAGCGTAACTGTTTACTGCAGCATTATTTACCATAGCTAAGATATGGAACCAACCCAGATGCCCCTCAGTAGATGAATGGATCAAGAAAATGTGGTATATATACACAATGGAATTCTGTGCTTCCATAAGAAAGAATGACATTGCCCAATTTGTTAGGAAATGGAAAGACTTGGAAAAAAATTCTATTAAGTGAAGTAAGCCAGGCCCAAAGAAACATAGGTCCCATGGTTTCCCTTATTTGCAATAACTAGTATATGTCTGAGTCAAGCAGAAAAAGTCAGATAAGTTGATGTTAGGGAAATGAACCCTAAGATATGTATTCAAATGTTTTTGTCTTTCATTCGATTGTTTCTAACACATTTATAAGATTATTTCTTTGTTGCTTTGTATGTCCCTCCCCCATGGTATAACCCCTGCTTTCACTGTATTTGATGTTTTTATAATTTGTGGAGGGGAAGGGAAAAAACAAATCATTTAAATAGGGATACAGGTGGACCTATTGCAACAATGAGATATACAAGTCAGTGTGTCGAAGATGAACTTTACAACTTTGGTGGGGGGGGGAGAGGGTTTGGTGGGGGGGGGTAGGGGGGGAGGATGGGATGGGAAGGGGAAACAAAGGAGGAGGCTACAATGCTTGATAAGAAATGTACTCATTATCTTGCCCATGTAATTGTAACCCCTCTGTACAGTATTTTCACAAAAAAGAAAGATTAAGGAACAAATATGGTGTATAAACAGAATAATAAAGCAAACATGGCCAGATGTTAAAAACCAATACATCTAATACTAGAGTCCCTAGTACTGATGCTTGCAACTTTGCTGTAAATATGAATTACCTTCAGAAAGGAACTGTTCAAAACTCAAGAGATGCAATTACAAGGTCGGAGTTACTGAAAAATTAAGTTGTAGCTCTTATTAATTCTTCGCAATAAGGGCCAGAGCAGTATGGTTTAGTTTTGTTGTTACAAGCACATTTATTTAGCACACAGCACATTCCAGGGGTTGACTGGAACTCTAATACATTATCTCATTTAAGTCTCCTGTGGTAGAAGTGTATTAACCCCTTCTGCAAATGAGGAACTAAGACATAGAGATTGAGTAGTAACCTCAGCCATAGGCTAATTCCTGGCAAAGCTGGGGCTCAGACCCAAGGTAGACTATTCTAGAAGCTCTTATGCTAAATAAACTCCCTTCCTACTTAATAATCACTGTCATTTTTCTGTAATGAAAATTATTTTCAGTAGTAAGACTGAAGCCTGTGATCATAAAGTCATATATGCACATTTCGTTCTCACACTGTACGGCTGTTCCGGCCCAGTGCTGTAGGAACTTGCAGTGCATGACCATTAGGCCAGGTGTGGGAAAAGAGTCACACACATGCACATTCATGATGTTTTCACAGACTTATTTTTCCTTGTGTAAGATGTGTAGATTGTCCAGTGAATCTCCAGTACATTAAAGATTTAATGCACCTTTTCATGGCTCGAAGCCAGCCTGGGCAGGAAAAGTCCCTGAGACTCTTTATCTTCAATTAACCACCAGAAAGTTGGAAGTGGTGCTGTGGCTCAAAGTGGTAGATTGCTCACCTTGAGCAGAAAAGCTCAGGAACAATACCTAGGCCTTGAGTTCAAGCCCCACAACTGAAAAAAAAAAAAAGAAAAAAGAAGCTAGAACCATTTTAAATGAAAGAACCAAGCACACAAAGCAAATGAGCACAAATGATTTTATTTGAAATGACCAGAACAGGCTTCTCTATACAGAATGTAGGAGTTATTACGAGAAGGGAAGAGTGGGGAGGGATTACCAAAGGTGGCTTGAGGTTTCTTTTTGCAGGGTGACAGAACTTAAGGAATTAGATATTGATGAGTATATACCACAGAATATATGAGGTTGAGGGGTGTGGTATTTGAACCCCGGACCTTATGTGTGCAAAGCGTGTGTTTTACTGCTCAGCTACTTTCCAAGCTGTGAGCTAGATTTTGAAGTGTGTATTTTTACCTTTTTCTGTATGTCTGAGGTTTTTTTAAGTCTTGATTTATTTGCATCCCCAAACTAAGTATTCCCTCCTATAAGGACTACAGACTCATAGCCTATGACATATAGTAATTTTCAAAATGAGCCCCTAAGACTTTGCATCTAATGACATAAAATCACTGGTCCAGACACCATCTCCAGCTTATTAATGTTAGAAGTAGTTGCTTTGCATCCTCATAAAGAAACAACTCAAATATCTAAGATTAAGAGTCTCAACTTCTCCCAACCTCATTTTCTTTTGGGATTATTGCTCTGTGATTTCCTTTTATCCAGTTATTTACCATTAAACTCAGAGGGGAAAAAAGATGCATGCAAATGAATGTATGCATGTTTGAGTGACAGACAGAATGAGACTGGTTGGATGTTTAGTTAAGATGAAGCTACCAGCATTGGCAAATAAAATAATGGGATTTCCATTTAAAGGTGAATTTTGTTGGATCCATGGCTCAAGTGATGAGTACCTATCTAGCAAATATAAGGCCCTGAGTTCAAATCCCAGGGCAGGAAAAAACAAAAATAAACCCAAAAAATAAAATGAAATATCATTTTATACCTATTAGAATGGCTCTAATGAACAATTGAAAATAAAAATGTGGGTAATGGTTTTTAAAAAAACGAATTCAGGGCTGGGAAGGTGGCTCAGTGGAAGAATGCTAGCCTTGCATTCATGAGGCCCTAGATTTGATTCCTCAACACCACATAAGCAAAAAAAGCCAGAAGTGGTGCTGTGGCTCAAGTGGCAGAGCGCTAGCCTTGAGCTGAAGAGCTGAGGGACAGCACCCAGGCCCAGAGTTTAGGTCCCACAACCGACAAAA